TCCCCTGTCCTACACTGTGGCTATGAGTAAGAATCGACTCGACAGAAATGCGTTTAGTTTTACAATTTAGTACAAACATCTCTCTTCCCCAAAACCATGCAGCCAGCCTTCATCAGTCTCCCCTTATCTTACCTTCTAGAGTCTGCTAAGTGGGTAATAAAATCATATTCAGTAATCTTAAAAAAAAAAAAAGCTACAGTGCAGCAATACAATGTGCTAAGAAATACAAATGTGAATTCATGTAGACATTTTCCAGCTCTGTCACTACTAAAGCTGTCCAACAACAGCTGCAGTAGCAGCACTTTTGCCCTCCATCTACCCTCATGTGCTTCTCCAGTGTCCAGATTTTGGTCTCTAACACTATGCTTTACTATAAGGGGAACCAGAACTCCTGGTTCCTTGGAGGGAGGTTGTATCTATGTCTTACAGCAGGAAAAACAAATTCCGAAGGGTCTGGAGCATCCTGTTATTGCCACAAAGCAATGATGCTGCCAAGAATATCAACACAAAGGATATTTTCAAAGGCTCCCACAAGCCAGCTTTGTGAAAATTTGAGCCTCAGATAACAGTGATTTTGTGGTTAATTGGAATATATTAAATCTGTGAAACGTCCTAAGTTTATAATGATAGTCAAAAGATAAAATGTAATATAAAGTGATGATAAATGAAGTTGCAATACGAAAGCGTAAATATAATGTAGAAGAGTACTTTGTTTCTTCAATTATATATCTGTTTATAAACTATAGATATATACATATTTCTGTACAGGCACAACAGTAAACAAAAGGAACAGTGAGTGAGTTAAGTAATCGTGGGAAACGTAGATACACTACCCAAAACAGGAAGGAATGAGGAACACAAATGGTTACATAAAATAACTGGGAAGAAAACGGTCCAATCAGCACCTGTGGTCACAATTACTAAGTAAAAGGGTTCAACTGTGTGCTTCAAAATGATGGATTATTTGCTTCTTCCTGAGGGGCTGTAGAGCTCCGGTAATTTGTGATATACGCTTTCCCACTCCCTACCCTTCTTCACCCACACTCGGCCCCCTCTGTTTCCCGAGGATACAGTCTCTTGTCCAAGAAACACCGGCTGCTTGGATCCCACCAGCTCACACTAGCTGGTTGAGTGCCATTTATTGGCTGCTGGTGTTGCTATTTTTCTGCTTCTTTTGATTTCTTCCTTACCTCTAAAAATCTCCCTCTCCTTTCACTCAAATACCTGGCTCTGTGCGCCATCTTTTCTTCTTCCTGAGGGGCTGTGGAGCTCCATTCGAGTGTGGAGGTGCTTCCCAGTATGGGCTGCCGCGCTGGTGGGATCCCGGGGCTTTTGTTCGTTTGTTTTGAATTGTTTGTTTTCTTTTCCTTTTCTTGAGTTGGGAGCCCTTTCTGGCCAGGCATTGCTGCATGGCAAGGAGACTACCCTTGCACAGACATGCAGAGGTACCCCTGGGGGCATTTCTTTTTTGGTGGGTGTTTTTTTTTTTTTTTCCTGCTTTTTTTGGGGGGGCTTTTCTTGTTCTTTTTTTTTTTTCAATTTGTTTTCTTTTCCCACTTTTTCCCTTTTTGTCTTTCTTCATTACTCAGTTTCTCATCTCTCTATATCCTTCCTTCTCTTTCTGTTCCCTGAATACCTCGTGTTGTATACCTCTATGCCTTTTAGGCAGGCTGTACAGCAACACCTGAGAGCGACTTCCCCAGACCTCATAGCTGCACCGGTGGGATCCCTGGGAACTTTGCGGTTCTTTAACCTTTCCAATTTTTATGTATTCATTCTTTTCTTTTCTTCCTCTTCCCCTTTCTGTTTTTCTCCATTTCATAGTCTCTCATCTCTCCACTCCAACAGCAAGCTCCCCTAGCATTCTTTTTTGTTTGTATGTTTTTGGCTCCTGTTCCTCTCTCCCATATCCATCATAGCCCCACACATAACAATCTCCCCACTACATCAGGCCTACCTGCACTGTGCGCTTAACATCAGGCCACCAAGCAGCACAGGCACGGCCTACTGTAACCTGCCCTGCGCTGATTGCCGAGCTGCCCTGGTGGCTGTAGTAGGTGCCACAGACAACCCGTCGCAGTAGCTCCTCTTTGGCTGGACCTGCCCTGCCGTACCATATCTGAGTGACTGGCCCTGCCAATTGGAGAGGGAGGCAAAAAGTATTGTGCCCACAGACGAGCAAACAACAAACAGTCTGCCTGGTCAGACATAGTCAAATTTTTAAAAAA